TGAAGGAACTAATTGAATTGATCTGAAAAATAGACTCCGATCGGTGTCACGCAATCTTTACATCTAAATGATCACGTGCCGCAAATACATCCGCATGGATATTTTTGTCTTGCTTTTGCTCATTTCTTTATTTTCCTCCTTACTAGCATACAATGTTTTCGTTTGGATTTTTTATGTTATTACAAGCCTATTTTGCAGCCTATATTGGTACACGTAAAGTGATCAGTGATCTTAATGGATCTCTTGGGTCCCGATATTTTCTCTACGTTATGAGTGAAAGAACAAGTTTTGCATTATGAGCGAGCGCATTTGAAAGTTCCAAATTGGTCATTGGTTTGAAATGAACCCCTGACTTAAAAGTTGCCTCTGTTTTTGTCAAGTTTGAATGAAATAAGTGGGGGTTGCGAAAAGATAGTGCTAGTCTCTGAATCGTTTTGGAATAATTTAAAATTTTTAAGAATGATAGATTTAACTGCGTGGTTGTGACGGTGAAATGTAAGAGTAAATGGAATGCGGTCAATGTTGTCCTTCTCAGCCGTTTTTAGTGCTGACTGTCGATCAATTTGTTGGGCACGGTGGTGGCCCGCTTGAACGACAGAGACAGGATAGCTTCGTTTATCGAAAAACAGGCACATTGCCTCTGATTTTTCGGAAAAATCAGAGTCATCACTACATAAACGACGAAGTCTGAAAAAGGTATGGAGTTCTTGACGTGTGATGGATGTGAAGATGAATACAACAAGTAACTATGTGAATCTATAGGTTTGTAGTAAACACTAGTGCATAAACCGTTGCCTTCAATTGAAATTTTGATGTCTGGAAAAGCCAAAGAAGTGTCGGTATATTTAAGAGCCGGATGAAAGGAATTGACCGCGGTTATAAATTGAGTGAGCTCCTCTTTGGTAGAGGACGTAGCGCCGATGCAATCGTCAATGTAACGACCGTAAAGTTCAGGTTTTGGGCCGTGGTATTGACTAAAAATTGATGTTCAATAAAACCTACAAAAAGATTGGCGTAGCATGGTCCCATTTTAGTACCCATGGCCACCCCAATGGTTTATTTGTAGTAGTCATTACCGAATGAAAAGCAATTGAGTGTGAGTACTAGTTCGGCCAGACGGAGTAGTGTTTCAGAGCTAGGTTACTCAACAGTGCAATGATGGGAAAAAATGTTTGAGGGCCCGGAGACCTTCGTCATTGGGAATGACAGTAGAGGTCGGCCCGCCAAACAATAACTGCGTCACCTCTGTCGGCCGCTTTAATGACTATGCGTTTTTTTAGACTTTTTAGTGCCGACCACTCTTCCGAAGAAAGATTGGAAAATTTGGTGTTACGATTGAATTTGAGTTTGTTGATATCGTGGCGACATTTTTTGATAAAAAAAAATTTGAAGATGAGAACTGAACCTCTGGGGGATTCCATTTAGACTTTCGAATCTGAAGTGTTTTGAAAGTATCTTTGTTCGAGATGTTAGAATCATCGTCTTTGTCATGAAAAAAGGCTTTCAATTGAACACGGCGAAGGAATTTTTCAACGTCTTGCTTAACTGAAAACATCGTTTGCATTCAAGCGTCTCGCCCTTATGCATAACACGGATAAAACGTCAGATATATCGAACTCTGAAAACCAAGCCTAAATCCCAACTCGTTGCAAAGGGTTTAGAGCAATGCATTAATCATTTGGAAAAAATCGATACGACAAAACCGAAAAGTGGAGCAGAAGAGAGAAATGATGTGATTCACTCAGATGTGAATGAAACCTTCGTTACTGTTAGCTTGTTTTTATTGTTTTCCTCAGGAAAAAAACAAAGCAACCGAAAAAAAAACAAAAACAAATAACGGTACACATACCCGAGGGAGGAGGGTCTGTAGAGTTAGAAGCCTCTGAGGTTGGAATATCACCTTCATGAGAGATAGAACATCTAATTTTAACATAATAAAAAAAAACTGTATATCAGTTAAATGCGAACATAAATTAGAGAAAGAAGGTACCAAAATAACGATGTACGAAATGCTGCAAAAAGCCTTTATTCTCTGAATTACCACCAATGCGATACCTGATTAACATTACAATAATCATAAATTGATCCTCCAAAGAAGAGAGTGGGGAAAGTGAGTAGGGAAGAGAGGAAAGAGACAAGAGGAGGAAAGAGTAGTGAGAAAAAGTAAGTGTTGTAGTGTTTACCTGGCCTGGGATGCCTAAATGCAGGAAAAAACACAAGAGACACCTCAGCCATGGTTTTAAATGTGTAATAATCCTTTAACAATAGGTAAATAATTCTCTCAACTAAAGAGAAGAGGGCTCCGATGTAAATGAATAAAGCACCGTAAAAACTTGTGTATGAGCCGTAATGGTAAATGGACTCCCAAATACTACTGGTGTAGTGTTCCATAAATTGCTTTTTTTTAAGAAATTAAGGTCCTCTGATGGCATCTAGTAACCAGAGCTCCCTTTTTCATGACTTTAAGAAGCATTTCCTTGCTTTCGTGAAAAGCCTCAGGCAGGAATCCAACAACAGTGAGTACAATTGAATAGAATAAACTTACCTTCCACATAAACCCTCACAGTGAGAATATCACTGCCGATAACATTCTCTGTGTACATGTAATAGACACCACTGTTTGCTTTAGTGATGCTTGGAATCTTCATTAGTATTAAAGAACTGACATTGGATGTCCTCTGTATGACACTTTGATTTGACTCCAAGACATGATTTTGTTTATCATATAAGAACAATAGCCCTTTACTGACAAGAAAATCCAACTTTCCGATGAATAAAAATAAAAAGATCGACATAAAAATCGTAATGTGCATCGGTGATAAGGCTCAAGATGAAAAATAAGTTGTACAAAATACTTTCTCCAAGGAGTAGAGATAAGTCAGCGAAAAAATTAAAACCTCTAAACAATTGTTGGATGAGGCTGAGCATGATATCATAAATTATCAAAACAGAGCTCTAAGTTTTTTGTGGAAAAAAAAAAAAAAAATTTAAAAATTTAAAAATTCATGTTGTCAATTGCTCCCAAAAACTGAATCCGACACTTCCCTCTGAGTTTCCAGAAAAATGAGGGCACTACACAGACGAAGAGCTTGAAAAGTTAGTACCACAGGTATAAAGTACCACAGATATTTAGTTATCATGTCAACTTCACGTACTATTTTTTATTGATTAAATGCTCTTTATCAATCAGATTTTTTAATTCTAAGTGTAATGTTTAATAATTTATAAAATCAGCAAGGCAATCGAACCATAATTTTGAAATTCCAAAGCGATATTAGCTATCTGACCAGCAATGCTTGCCAAAAAAGTAGGCAAGTATACGAAAATGATAAGTAATATGTTAATGACAGTAATAACGATAATAATAAAGAGAATGAGAATTATGATGACAAGAAAGTAATATTAATAATAATGTAACAATGCTGACAGTAATGGAATAATAATAATCATTATAATAATAACTATAATAGTATCAGTAATAAAAATAATATCAATAATAATAGTCATAATAATAACAGTTATAATAAAAATAACAATAAAAATAAAGAAAAAACGATTGAGGAAAACTGATAATAAAATATTCTATAGCAACTAAGCATCTTCGCAAGCTAAGCTTACTTTTGTAAAGGTCTTATCAAAGGGATCCTAAGATTTTCAGGTTTACAAATGTAAATGTCTTTAATTCTCACAATGAGGATCTAGGATTGTTGTAACTTTAGGCTCAAAGAAGCTCTGACTGTTATTGATTCTTAAACTAGTTAAGGGTTCTCGGACGAGACTAGTGCTAGCTTCAAAGTATGATGACATGTTGATGTATGTATGATGATCATAAAGAGCGTAGGAAAAATTGCATCTAAAATTCACGTCTCACCGATGCTAAATCTAAACTTTTGCTTTGGCCAAACCCGCAATTACCCACTTGAAAGTTTACACGGTATGATTCCCCAAAAACCCCTTAAAAGCGTTCGAAGATCGATTGACGTTTTGACATGACTGAACTAACCTGTTACGAGAGATGGCATGAAAAATATAAAGAATAGGACGTAAAACCCGATAAGCCTCATTCCTAATGCTCCTTGATCTTTCCTAAAATAATGACATTGACCCATATCAGTTTTGACGAATGCGCAGTTCCTTCTTTTCTGAGAAACAAATGAATACCAACAGAGCACACGCTGTCTAGTTCTTGGCATTTGTTCTGTTCAAAAATATAGGCTTAAGAGCTCTGTTTGGATTTGTTCATTTCTTTTTCGTAGCCATCTTTTTCGCTTGTCACGTATGGATGAGCTCGTTGCGTGACTAGCCTGGTGGACCACAGGAAAGGAAAAGGAACAAAAATTGCCGAAAGACTTGAGGAAAAAACAAAACAGAACAATCAAACAAACAAACAGCCGGTATGAGGAGAGACTTTGTCGGTGGCTTAGTCTTTGCTGCCTTGATCGGAGATATTTTTTAATCTTGAGCCTCGATCCCTAAATAAACCCATTTCCTGTCCTTGAAATGAGGTCGAACTTGAGAGCATACCGGTTGGTAGAATTGCTCTTCAGTTCCTCCTGGGATTTTATCCCCTTCCACTCTAAGTTGCTCGAGATTTTCACGGACAGACGCAATATTTAGAGGTTTATCATGAGAGTTACCCTTGAAGGTCGTCGTTTAGCGATCGTCCAACATATCATTGCTTGTGCTTTCCGCCACCCATGACTGATGAATCCTTTGAAAGATAATTATGTTATGATTAAAGACTGACAGGTATATGAAATGTTTGACGGAGCGAAAAGAAAGACTACCCTTGGCCCGCAGACCTCTGAGTGCAAGGTTAAAAACAAACAAACAAACAAACAAACAAAAAAAAAAAGAAAAAGGAAAACTCTACCATTCCACTTTTCGACACCGACTTGTTTTATTTCCCTTTAGTTGATGTTATCACGGGATCCATGTTCCTATGCTATATTTTCAAACGTAGCGTACTCGACTTGCTGAACAGAATTTTTTTCAAGCACAAAATAACCAACTGTCCAAATAACCGAACACTGTAACGGGTAACTGTGGCAATATTAATATGCTCGGATTTGATTTGTTCCAAGAGATGATAAACTTATATTCTCTTGGTGGTTCTTAACACCCCCTATTATGGCTTTTTCAGGTCCTAACAGTCCGATAGATGTTTCTCGCTGAAATTAGGGCTAATCGTGCTCGTGATTTCTAATCAGCCTCGCGCTACGCGCTTGACCAATTTAAAATTTCTCGCCCAATTACAGCCTTTATTCTATCCATTTTCAAATAACTTGTCATCTTTGCAATCTGTTTGACTCTCTGCAGTGCAGTTTTTTCACAAATTGCATCAATTTATGCTCTTAATGGCATTTTTTCCAAGCTTTGCTAAAACATGACGACCAATCAAATTTCAAGGCTTGCTCAAAGAAATCAATCAAATTGCAAGAAAATGAGAGAAAACTTTTGCAACCTTTTATAAACCAGCACAATATACTGGATCAATAAAATATTCGAACAGAATGAAAATACCTTGTATTGCGTTGCTGAATTTTGCTATTTCAAAATAGATGAAATAAAGTGCTAATTAAGCTTGGTGTCTTGCAATTTTGATATGAAATCATGCTTGTGATTTCGATGAAACTCGCGCTGCGAGTTTATGAAATCACGGGGATGATTTCAGACCAAACTGCACTCCACTCAGTTCATAACCAACAGAAATTGCAGTCCACTAAGCCCAATTATATCTGCACCTGATTCGCGCATTATTTGTATTTTCCTTAGTAAAAATGAATAATGTAAGAGAAGGACAGAGAATACAGATAGTTCAAAATCTCTTGACGAGAACTAATGAACAGATTACTAAATAAAGATGTGTGAAAAAATGCATTTCACACTTTTCTCAAAATATTTGGAAAATAGAAGTAACATTGTCCGTTTCAATTTACAGTTCTATTATCTTTTGACAGGTGAAAAAATGACTTTTCACACTTTTCTGAAAATATTCGGAAATAGCGGTAAAATAGTTTGTTACAATTTACAGCTATACTAACTATTAGATAGGCATCTCCGAAACAGCCTGTTTAAATGCAGTTTTGGCGATCTACATTTTTTCTTGAGAATGCAAAGGATTATTATTATTGATATTGTTGTTATGACTACCAACAATGGACCGACCACTATTGTAGCAATTATCCATCCGGCGAGACTTGAATCCCCTAGAAAACAAAACAAATAAATAAATACATGATTGAAGAATAAATTTGGAGTGGAAAATTGAAATTTTCATTCAAAGCATAGATTGGAGTTAAGTTAATTGGAATTAAGTTAATTAATGATGACGGATTAAAGTCTTAGCATTCACAGTCACTTTCAATCTTGTATATCTTCGTTTCTTCATTTATTTAACGTCAGAAATTTTTCAGAATCAGTTTCTCTTTAAACTAGGCTTCATTCTCCTAATTAGGACTCAAAGTACATGGTGATTCTCTTCCTGCCGCCAAGTGAGCTCTACAGGGAAAAACCTTGCGGTTTGTATTGTCTTAGACCTGTATTGAACGGTTACTTAAAGTAGAACCACCTAAATAAAACCAATTGTATTTATAAGGTAGTTCCTGTGCATAAAGTGGTCAACTGTGACATAAAATGGCACTTTTTTAAGGGTTTTTCATAATACCCCTATTCTGTGGAACCTGCATAGCGGTCAACCTGTATGAAGCGGTCATGGTGCCATTCCGCGTGAGTGACCACTTAACATAGGTTGGACTGTATCTTGTTTTTCGATTAGAGGGAGGGGTTGTGAGTAGGAATATGGATGAGAATGTGCATGTATTGAAGTGGAAGGAAGTGAGGAGAGAAGCGGAGGGAATCAGTTCATATGCAATTCCACGAGTGCGGCTTTGAGACATACTAGAGTTAAGTTCAATGATAAACAAATAACAGTAATAAAGATTTTGGTCGTGAAAAATAGGATTGTTAAAAATCGATGGAATCTTCCGTAATTTTGAACACACTCATTTAAAATTTGCTCTAAAACGGATATTGGAAAAATTGAAATAGAACACCTTGTACTTACCTGATGTTGGTGAAGATGATGGAGTTTGGATATCTATGAGTAGAAACAGAGTGGCAAAGTAAATAACTTCTATACTTTGCCTTGCCATTCATATCTTAAAGAAGTTATTATATGCCAAGGCAGTCTCGGAACCCTGTTCAGTTCTTTTAGGTCATCTGGAAAGGTTAAAGAGCGGGAGAACCTACCTGGTGCTGCAGTCGTCCTCACCGACTTACCTACATACGGAGGGAAAAAAATGGAAGCTTCTGAGTAAGTTTGTAGCTTTTCTCTAAGATAGCAGTAGGTCCAGATTAAGAAAATAGTACTGAATAAAACCAAAACAAAATGGAAGAAAATAAGAGAAATCAAACAAGCAAAACAAAACAAAAAGAGTGACAAACAACACGAAGAACAATAACAGAAATGAATAAACCAAAAACAGCAAGGTTTCTCTGCGTTTCTTTTCATGACTGGCTACATCTACTCTCAAGGGGCTAGCCTAACTATAAATAAAATCGATACCTTCAACAGTAACGTCAAAGGTCAAGATATCCTGTCCGAATGGATTCTTGGCGTAACAGGTATAACGTCCACCTTCTAATACAGTGACGTTGCGAATTTTAAGCCTTGTTTCTGAATCTTTAACCGATTTATTCTGTAGGAGATGGTCACCATGGCTCCAAGTTACCCAGGGGTAAGGATACCCCTGCACTCGAACATCCAAATGAAGATCGTTTCCTTCAAGGACCTGAGGCTCTGGAGGACTCTCTCGTATCAATTGTGGGGGTTCTAAAAATAAATCAAAATTATCCAACTACTATAGGGAGGTTTGCATTCCTTAAGCGACAGAGAAGAAAAGCAAAGATGCAAAGAAACAGAGTCCGAAGTGATAAGATTAAAAAAATGAAGGCCAGGAGTGGGGAAACTTTAAGGGCCAAAAGCCGTTTTTCAAGATCAAAATTTAAAGAACGGAGAAGCAATTGCTGGCACACTAACCTGTCCAATTTGTTTCTTTAACTGACAGTCAAATTGTATACTTGTTTTTAACAGAACATTTTAAGGGCACGTTAAGCTACCGGGACCCTCAATAAATGGACCCCCGACGTAATGAATGGATTTCTGTTGCTTCCCGTCCTTGCTCCGTATTTTTATCTCAGGGTTCTCCAACTATCCTTACCTCCCGGTAAAACAACATTCCAAATGTCATTTCTTCCTTGAAACCGTGGACAACAAAAGCCACCACGTGGATTGTCTATGGCTAAAAATATGAATTCCCATTGTATTATTACTATTATCACTTGTATAAATATTACCTTTGGCTATATGAAGGATCGTCGTAGACCTTTCTCTCCCTATAAGCGTCTTCTGGGCAATACAGATAAACATTTTTCTATCATCCACAGGTAGTACCTTCTTGATAACTAAGGTGCCGTTGGTGTAAACCTCAAAGTTTGGGTTATCGGGAATTGTCACTCTCATGTTTCGAACATGTGCTATCCGGAACTTGTCCCAGTCATGTGCGCAATCATCGGTAGAGCAGCGGTACCAACCGATATGTTTAACATTTTCTGGATCACTGGATGCAGAGCACGACAGCAAGCGCCTCTCGTGAATTTTTACTGTAACCTTAGCAGCTATCAAATAAAGGGTGATATAATTTTTTTCAATTTTTATTTTAAAATCACAACTTCTTACTTTCATTATCAGTACCTCCCTTTTTCTCCGATCTTTTAATCAGGACTGTTACTATCAATATTATCATAATTGTTAATATTATTTTTTGTGATGCGTGCTTCGCGAAATTGCCGAACACGGGGCGCCCTCTCGATCTGCTTGACTGAATCGCCATTGATATGCCGCAGTTTTGAGTTCATTTTTTGTAGAAGTTTATCAAGCTAAGCAAGGCTTGACTTGGATAAGTGATGGATATATGTCTGACAATTCTCTCTGCACTGATTAAAGTATCGAAAAGGCCGCTAAAGAACTTGTTGCTTTGACTCGTTTACAACTTAAGACTGACATAACATTAAAGCAGCTTTCTATAGTCAACTCCGATCGCCAGCTCAAATGTTTGTGTTACAATAACAATTATTGATAATACCGAAAAATGCCGTATATTTTAAGGAGAGATAGAGTTTTTTTGTAGCTGATCATGATAAGTTCCACAAGTGAGCTCTTTATCGGGCTGATCCCTTTGTAATAGCCACAGCTGACGTCATGAGTCGCTTACTATCGGATTTCGCATAAATGTAACACTGAGTCACGGTAATTGTGTAATTCTCGGTAGTTCTCTAGTTCTTGTGGTTCTTATACTATCGGACTTCACATAATAACACTCTTAGTAACAATAATTGTGTACTTCTGGTTCTTGTGGTTCTCGTGGTTTTCGTGGTTCTTGTAGTTCTCGTGGTTCTCGTGGATCTCGTGGTTCTCGTGGTTCTCGTGGTTCTCGTGGTTCTCGTGGTTCTCGTGGTCCTGGTGGTTCTCTTGGTTCTCTTGGTTCTCCTGGTTCTCTTGATTCTCGTGGTTCCACGTTATTTTTTTCATTTCCGGCTCAAGGGGAAGTAAAAAACCAGCAGGCACACATATACCTTCGCCAGCGGTATTTCCCATTAGTCAGAGACTGATTGTGTGTCGAACGGGTCGATAAATTCGCAGTTTTATCCCAAGAAATGAAGTGTTTTACCAAAGTTGTGTATCTTTTGGTGGCTTTCAACATCTTGGGCTGCTCCTACGCCTAAAACATGCCAATTTCGGAAGCAAGTCACAGATTTGTACAGCTTGTTTTGAGCATTCATTCATCTGAATCGAATGCGAATTTAAGTTGGTTGCAACATGGTGTGATCATCAGGGGTGATCAAAGAAGGCCAACATCCAGTAATCCTGAAGATTATGTAGTACATGATATCATACTATGGGATCCCCTAAGTGGTTCTTCGAATATTGCCTTATGTTATAAGCAAGCACAAAATAACACAAGCCCGCAGGGAAATTTTTGAAAATTTTCAGAGTGCTTATTTTTTCCAGATTGCACAAGAAAATCACCTGGGCCCAGTTGTTCAAAGGCCGATTAGTGCTAGCCCAGGGTTAAAAATTTAATGCAGGTTTCTATATTTCTTTTTTCCAAAGCCTTTTAGAGAAAATTTTCCCTATTCTTTTTAGAACATCCAATTATCAAATTGCAAGCAAAAAGATTTGAACTGAATTTTCTTTTTAAGCTTTCAGAGCTGACATCAAATTACATGCTAACCCTGGGTTATCTTAACCCAGATTTGAACAACCTTGGCCAAATTATTTTTCAATGATAGGGTGAAACCTCCATTAATAGGGCACCCTCAGGACTATGAAGTGTCCATTAATATGCCTGTGTTCCTTGAATAGAGGGTGGATGGGGTTTTGTTTACAATTAACCACCCAAACAACAATACCAGTTTTATTCCCTTCAAAGCAGCCATCTATTAAAGCAACCAAAAATGCATGAAGTAAGCTTTCGATACCAACCTCGGACTTTTTTAAATTGTGATTTTACCTGCTACTAGTAGATAACTGCTGCAATAACCCTTTCAATAGGTGCAGAATTAATGTCCAATAAAAATACCAAGTGTGTTCATATTTATTTTGAGAGGTATGCAGAAACTGGAACAACTCAGTGTCTTTGGTGGCATTGTAACACTAGCAGCTTAGTAGTTGTCCCCTTAATGGGGGTTGAAACAGCACTAGCAGCACTCAAAGTGTCCCAATCTCCTTATAGAGGTGCCCCTGTAATAGTGGTGGTAAATACAAAGTTTATCTGAGCATTTTACCGGGACCAGGAAAAGCATCTCCTTGTGGAGGTGTGCCACACCCAAAGTGGAGCTCCCATAGCACACATGATGCACAACAACATATTTAAATTAAAGTTCTGTCTATTCAAATTTTTTGGCACTCAATTAAAATTTCAGAACTGTTTGGGATTTTTGACATGGTAAAAGTCAATCGGCAGGCATAAATGTTTGTTGACATAATGTGGTATACATTATAGTTGTCTATTTTCTCCTTATCAAATTTAAGTATGATAATGTATAATGTATCAATATGTTGCAATTTTCATGCAACATAAATTTAAGTGTAATTGGAATGATTGTCCTGTAAATGGGCATGCAGGTACATTGCAACAGCTGTGAATCACTTTTCTGCGTGACTTCTGTATAAAATTCTAAAAATTGAATTAAAATTTCATATTTGCTTTTTCCCTTATGAAATTACTCTATTCAAACATGTACATAGTTTGAATCAAGGGTATTGTTTCATTGTTTGGTTGTATAATGCATAATACCTGTAGCCTTTTAACTGTAACTTAAATAAAAACATCTTTAATTAATTCAATTATGCTTGTTTCAATTTTAGCAAAGATTCAATTTAACAACCAGAACTGTATAAATGGGATTTCACATGGCCATACCTTCTAGAAGAATGTGTTGGTAGCAAGAAATAATCTGTAATGAATAACACGTTAAGTGTCAGGTATCTGCATTGTATTATTCAAACATATTTTAAAACTGTAACATTTTATGACAAACATTTTTTTTTTTTTGGTATTCAACTTTTTTCTTTTAAATAAATGTCTCTTTACTTTCTTTCTCTAAAATGTCTCTATTTTTTTGGTATTTATAATTTCTCAGTTTCTATTCAAAGGTAGTTCGTAATTTCTTTCAATTAAATGTCTCAATTTACAGGTATTAATATTTTCTCTCAAGTGAATGTATAGTTCCAGAAAATATCTAGATCCCCAGCGCGAAAGGCATCTTCTCTATAACCCCACCAACCCTCTGGAAATTCCAATTTAGCTTCATACATTGCTTTGAATTTTTGGGTCTCTGAGACCCTACCCTCTTGTCCTGGAATTCCCAATCCCCTCTGTGGGAGGAGTACGGATATTTTCTAGATCTACACAATGTCTTCCATAATTTCTCTTATGTAAATGTCTATTTAACAGCAATCTCAGTTTCCCTAAAATAAATATATATTGAAAGGTACATGTATTCTCAATTTCTCTCAATTAAATCTCTATTAAAGTTGTTCATGATAATTTCATGTAACAGTATTGTTTCAACATTCTTTTCAGCTAAAGCAGTGATGGTAATGTTGCTCTCTCTCTCTAAATGCATTGAGTTGAGCTTGAAATGGATGACCCTCTGACACTGTGAAGATATTGCTTGCAGTAAGCTTGTCATCATCCTTAAGGAATGTTGTTCTGTGGTCTTGCGCAGAGATGTTGTATTTGGCCAGCTTCTGCTGAAGGTCATCACTGGGCAGCATTTTATAAAAACATTTTTAGTTTGTTAATGACTTTAAATATGCCAAGACCAGCAGCTACCAGATCTTGCATGGACTTTTGGACCAGATAGACATTTGGACGGCAGTGCGAGGAAAAGCTTGTGTAGGCGCGGCAGGCAGTTGTGTATGGCCCTTTCACGGTTAAGATTCTACAGGTAACATCCTCATTTGCCAGACCCACTTTTATGACCTTAGCAGAGCCATTAAATTTTCTGGCCAATGATAAAGGTAAATTTAAAAACAGTTAAAATTATTTTACTTTGAGTTGGAGTTTATATTTTCATGGTCTGGTAAATGGCAAATACCTTTTCTTTCTTAATTCATCCATGTAAATACACAAGGGAACTCAGGGAGGTTTAAAAATGAATTTCTTTTAAGTTCTGACACCATGGAAGACTGAGCACACATAAAAATTTCTACAACAAATAGAGTAATTCTGGTCAAGTCCATTTCTGCTTATGGCCAAGGGGCATGTATTTTGGCTTCCTTGTTCCATGACCAAGAGTTTGATACAATGTTAGCACAGGAGAAGTTTTCGTTCATATTCTTAAATTGTAAGTACAGTACTGAACTTGCTGTTTTTGATGTTGTTACAGTTGTAAACCTGGTCCTTTCAAATGCCAAAATTAATACACCAAAAAATGAGTGTGCGGTTCTAGAGATGTTGCTTCCCCTCCTTCCCAGAAGAATTTTTTGGGTATGAAAACTACTGGAAAGAAAACAAAGCTTTATAACCGATAAGAGCAAGCAAAGAAAGTAGTCATACAAGTACATGTGCAATATTTTATTACCCCTGTCTCCAAATTTATGGCCTTCCTCAGGCGATCATATATTACATGCATGCTATGAGCAAGGCGGAGGACGTGTTTGTGTCGCTTAAAGTTGCTGCAGTTGGCTTCCTTTTCCACGTTGGCCCCTAGTGTGCTTGGCAACTTATCTTGAAGCTTCGCGAATTTGAAAAAAACCTCACGGGCATTTGCACTCAGGGAGTACCTCACTGGTGGAATATTGTTATGTTCTACTTAAATTTGCTCAAGCACCACTGAGACTGGATAGGATAGTTATCCAGCTCTTCGTAATGCTGGGACATTACCTCCAGGTCTTTCTCCTCCTTTTTCTGGTAGAAAAGGAGCAATCGCTCAGCCGGGCCATTTTCGGCATAAAAAATCTTCGCCAAACCGTTTCGAGGAACTGCTTTGAACGCAAGGAGCGAGACTCGTGCCGACGGGACCCCTGTACGTTTACCCTTGTTGCTCCTCAGCACTTATCAGCAATTGCCGTCGCAACACTTGCATAGCCGTTCCATGGTCAGATTCGCTTGAGGACCTTTCGATAAACTCGTAATCTTCGTTAGAAACGAGTGGGCCTCGTCGATGCAGATGATATTGCCCGTAGCGAAGTGATTGAACAGGCCATTACTCGACGCGTCATCGATAACGAAGGTTTTTGTTTATTTTGGGCTCGATATGTTCCATGATGTGATCGATACATCCTAAATAGCACGCAGGCGTTTTCCCAGAACCTGAAGGAGAGACCACAACAACGAAAAGATTCCCCCCTTCTTTATACGTAGAGAAGACCTGTAGTGAGCTCTTTCCAATCAGCGCGCTAGTTGAGGTCAATACACTCAACAGAACCACCTCCCGAGTTGTTCCATGGCTACGCGCGAGTACATTAAGCCAGTCTTTCACTGCTGCTGGCACAATCTCTTCGAATGGCAGGGATACATCCGCCAATTTAGCTTCCAAATCGTAAGTAGTGCGAGGCTCGCTACTCTCGCTCTCGCCATCCATGATTGTCGATGAAAGTGGTCAACAGGAGGTCAAGAAAGCGCGGGAAAATGATTAAAATGTTTACAGCCACTGACCATACTGTTAGACTCGGATATCAAAAGGTTAAGAGCTTAGGGGGGGAGGGAAAGAACCAAGAGACCCCCGAGAACCAAGTGAACCAAGAGAACCACGAGAACCACGAGAACCACGAGAACCAAGAGAACCAAGAGAACCAGAAGAACCACGAGAACCAAAAGAACCACGAGAATCAAGAGAACCACGAGAACCAAGAAAACCAAGGGAACCACGAGAATCAGAGAACTACCGAGAACCACACAATTACCGTGACTCAGTGTTATATTTATGCGAAGTCCGATAGTAAGCGACTCGTGACGTCACCTGTGGCTATTACACCGGAGATCAGCCCTTTATCGCGCGTATCGCATTAACTAACGCTGGGCGAGACTTTGGAAATGAAAATTTAAGCAGACATGAATTAAACAAAATCACCTGCGAATCAAAAGTAACGAGTTTTAAATTTCGATTCATTCCGAAGGCGAGAACGATTCCACATCAGCAGAGAAACCATGTCCTTGTTGCGACTTCTCCGGCTGCGAAAGAGTATTTATGTCGCCATAGTTACAAGTAACTCAAACATCTGCCGGACAGCGTGTAGATTCTGGGGTTTCATTAAACAAACTTAAGCCTTTAACTCCCAGAAGTGATTAACATGTAACTTCTCCTTATAAAAACAAAGCGGTTATCTCCATCTGACACCAAATTCTTGTAACCTATTTATAAGAAAATGTGTAGCAGCTAGAGGGGAGAATTAACAATCAGATCTTGGGAGTTAAAGGGTTAAGTACTCCAATAAACGTACCTTTGGATCTCAGTATTAAGCTCGACGAAAAGAAGAAATATAGAAGAATTATTCTCAAAGAAATGTGCATATCAGGTTGAAACTCCGCTACAAATTGAATCAATGTCGATTCGGCGAACAGTTGACGGTCGACCACGAGTTGACCTCCAATGATAAACTAAGGTCAGCAATGATGTGAACAACAAAGAACTCACACAACATCCTCTTTCAACTTAAGTTAAGTGACCATTTTACGGGATAAGAGGTAGGAAAGTGTTTTTCTCAGGAACGAATCTCACAAGTTTTATATTTATAAATTACGAAACTGTTTGTACAAAAGTACAAGGTGTAACTCATAGCCATTTGTCTTACTGACCTGACGTAGAGCCAAAATTTTTGAAAATGCATGTCTACTACTCAGAAGATGCTGTTTCTTGAGGACTTTCTGCCTCACGATCCTTTTTATGACGTGACGACAAAAAGTGCAAACTTTTTTCACCTGTACTTTCACTTTCAGAATGTTGATATGTATTTTTGCAGCGTTATACGTTATCATTTGCCAGGAAGTCTGGAGGAAAGGAAAATATTCCTAATTTATTCTGTTTCAAGTGTAATCACTTCCTTTCCTCTCTAGCTCTTAAACTTTTGGTCATTTTACGGCTGACGGTTGCTTTCCAGTCCCGTAAAGGTTAACAGAAAAAATTTTCCGGTTAACTCTATTTACGATTTAAGGTTAAGAATTTGTCAATTGCGCCTAACGGCCAATTTTTTGGTTGGTAGGTCACGATAACCTCAAGTCAAGTCAAAATGTATCACGCTGCCCACAGTCAGCATTGTACAATGGGAATGTCTTTGTTGGCAAACGTTTGAAACGCATTTTTAATACGGAAGAATGCTAGCTCAACCGAACTAAAGTGATCCCTTTAGAAAATTATCTGTTAAGCGAAGAAAGATAATTGTAGCCTCAAGTCATCTTGCGTGGTCAATAGTTCAACCACATTGTTGATCATGAGATGTCGCGACAAATTTTAATTAAAATTTCTTTTTTAGAACCGGCCATCTGGAAACGCGTGCTTAATGTTATGATAGTCTCATCACCTGCCCAATATCGGTCAAAAATGAAAGGTGTACTACATTTATGTCCAACTTTTCTCTCGAAGTGGCAAAAAAGACGTCGTATTTTTAAACCTAGCGGTACAGCGGAGAAGTAAAAGGAAACTTCATTGTAGCTAAAACTTTCTTGTCAACGTCAGTAAACAATATAGTCTTAGAAATTTGTGGTTTCTGCTATTGTTAGAAAATAAAAATGTGTTCGTTAACCTGTTGTGAGATTTCGCTCAGCATGAGTTTACTACGTAATCACATGGCTGAAAAATATGAGTGCCCGTAAGATATCGATAAACATGTATAGACCTTTGGATTACGGGCTGCGAAGCTTTACCACTGAGACTCTACCGTGAACAAGGCAAGTACCAAGTTAAAAATTTGGAGATTTCGAGACGATTTTGTCATTTTATGTGTACGTAACAAAAATTTATTCGACCCACGGGCGATGTTAATTCTTACATATGCTTTATGTGCCAAACGTCTCGTCACTCAAATGTTAGCGCGAGGTATCTGTTTCGCCAGCGACCGTACTAGTGTTTATACTCGATGCAATGAAATCATCACCAATGTCTTACGGCTTACTGACCTTAAACGGTTCATTTTAATGATAACTGTCGTCTCCAAACCGCTGTGAAGACGAATTCGAGTTTCTTATCTACGTTTTGTTTTAGTGATTCAAAATAGATATGCTCGCTTCGATAAATGAATTCCGATAATTCAGATAAGAGGCATGAAATACAATTCGTTGTATAGCTTTGGTGGTTTATAACATACACCGTCCGCACCGGAAAAAAGAGAAGTCTTCGTGTTGTTTTAGTGTTAAGTAGTCGGAATGTTTTCAAAATAAACTTCGTAATTTTCAAAGTATTTAACTGAAACAAAATAGGTAAATTTAACGCTGACCTGCTAAGCTAAGAGTTTCACTAGGAGCATACAACTGTAACAGTGCGTAACAAAACAAAAGGGATCGGAAATACACTCGATTTGTAAGCAAACGTTTCTTGTGAAACGGACGCCTGATGCGGAAGAATAACTAATCTAATTGCAGCCATAATCTATCATCATGCTCAGTCAACCCAAACATTTTTGGTCAGATCATTGTTTTTGTGATATCGTTCACAGAATTAATAGGTAACAGTCATGCAAAAGCCAAATCAGTTCTCAAAAGCTCACAAGGCTAAACACTTTTAATGCATAACTTGGCTTTTTTTGTTGTTGTTGTTTTTTTTGTAATAAATCACTGCTAACAGAAATATATTAAACGATTCCTACGATCAATACTTGCATTGGCCCAACCATTGGAAGTAACATCTTGCTAACATCTTATTCCTACGCTTGCTATTTAAAGCGCCTCCAATATTTTATCGCTTTATCAGTGGATGTTTTCATCGAGGACTATTGACAATGAAAAACATAAGATGGTTTGAACTGAATGAGCAACCGAATTATTTACGAATAACAGTGAGAGTAAAGAAATGCGTTTCCCTTTTTCGTCATGTAACGAGCGTAATGCCAAAATAAGAGTGCCTGAAAGAAATCGAACCTCAAACCTTCGGATTACGCGTTGGGAAGGTCAATCTCAGACAAACAGAGACTCTAAGGTGAGGATGGCCAATATTAGGTTGTAAAATTTGAGATTTCGAAACGAGTAAGTTATGTTAAGTTAATATTGTTGTAAATTACATTTTCGATTTTTTCCAATGTGAAATTTCAACATATTAACACTGACTAGCCTCGATATCTCGAAACGCGTAAGTTACAATTTTTGTTCTTTTACGAAATCTGCTTTTTCTCCTTTAGTAAAAGAATGAATCATCGAATTTCCGACAGCGCCTCTTTCCTTAAGATTTCTCGTACGCAGGCATCGATTTACTGTAAGTTTCTGTTGGTCCTCAGCGAGCCATTGGAAAAGTGTGTGTACAGTATTTGTTTCGCTTGCGGCCCTAAGAGTGTTCTGAGGTCAATATTACGAATTCAGTCGTCACTAATGTATTACTGCTTACCTGAGCCGAACGCCACTAGAGTAATAAAAATCACAAAGAGAAATAAAACGTTGTCACCCATAACTGTGCGGCGTAGAGTTGAAATCAAATTTTCCGTAGAA